GCAGTGCCAAACAGCTGATCTCGGGCTCCACGGTGCTGCCTCTTTGAAATGTCGCAGCAGTGTTTCAAAGGGGCAGCACCACACCGAGCCCAGGATCAGCTGGGGACTCCCCAGTTGACCCTAGACTTCACAGCACTGCCCCTTTGAAATACTGCTGCATTTTGCTTGCGCTTCAAACCCCATGGGCTGGATTTGCATGGGCCCCAAACCCCAGTGGCAGCACCCTCCTCCCACATGGCTCCACACCCCAGTGGCAGCTGCCTGCCTGCTCTCCCTCCTGCTCGCGACCCCAAACTCTGGCGGCAGTAACCTGTCTGTCCGCCATGTGGCTGCAAACTCCGGTGGCAGCTCCCCACCAGACATGCGGCCTCCATCCTGGCGTCTCCTGGAACAGCCAGTTCCAAATACAGCGTTTCCGGGACTGTCCCCATTCCCATCCGCCATGCAGCCACAGCAGTGGGAGCAGCCACGTCACTTACCTTCCAAATCCAGCAGGAAAGTGAGTGCTGTTGCACAACTCTGTGAAGTAGGTGGGCAGGCGGAGAAGTTTTTATGCATGGCCGTGCAGGCACACATCTTAGAGAGAACACTGTACTCGAGTAGTCAACTACCCGATAAGCCTAAGCTTAAGTAGTTGAATCGCTTCTTGCTCCCACCCTTTGCTGCCTCTGTCAGAACCAGCAAATGGGGGTGGGAAGTAGGAACCAGGTTAAAAGCCGGAAGACTCTTACTACATTTATAATGGAGCTCTGCAGAGGTCTCAGAGCTGGCGGGAGCTGGGAGCCTGTTTGCCCATCCATAGTTTCTCCTGTTGACTCCCTGAAAATAATAATCTTGAGATCATTTCACTCTGCATCCCAGTCAAGTCCTCTGTTTGCAATCTGATCCCAAGCTGCTTTTCCTGCTCACATTCAGTCTCTTAACTCTCTCCTCTAACTTGATCTTCTCTGATGTCAGGATTTTACTTTGTCTTGTAGAAGTGTCCCTATTTCAGAATACAAACTGAATAATATAGTATCCTCCACTGGTTAGGGTGGAGGGATGATGGTAATATTCTAGCATGTTCATCACTGCATGTTCTTAGGTGGCTGGAGTATATTAACTCTAGGAAGGATTTGACAAAAAAAGAGAATCTGACTGTTTATCGTATGATGTCAAATATTGGCATTTACTGGCCTAACACCCCTATGGAGAAACTCATTAAATAATGTACTAAGTGTGGCAGCTGGTCCGTGTGGGGTATTTGTCTTGTAATATTTGCTGATTTTATCAGGGCATGAATAGAATATTTAATATATCTGTTTTGACTAATTTGGTTGGAACTGCCTGAACTTATTATGTGCCGCTCTTGTGTGTTTTGCAGAACTCTCAAGGAAGCCAGCACTAGAAAGAGACAGGGTTGTGTTTCTGCTTGCCAGACCCAGTCTCCAGCACTGGCCCCCCTGATGGCAGTTTGCACATCCCTGTGAAACCTGCCAAGCTGGACGCCACAGCTTTGCACGACTGCACTTTGGCTGCCACTGTGCCCCCTTCAGAGCCAACGAACCATGCAGTCCTAGCCTGTGACACAGGCATCCATGAAGAGCACTATGTAAGTGAAGCAGTGGAAGATGATGTGCCAAACTCCAGAGAATACAGAGATGCCTGCACCATTACTGGTATGAAACAAGCTAAATTATTCTACTTCTTTCTTGAGATAGGTACACAATAGCTAAGTTTTGTTTTCCTCTATGAAGCAATTGGTGACAGCATTTTCAAGCATAGTGAATCAGTGACTGTTCTAAAAAATTTTTTTTTGTGTGGGGGGGTCTGGGATATAGTGTGGAAGACTTGAGTGTTAAATGAATTCCCAGTCACAACACTACAAAAGAATAAAGCTTTTTGCAAATAGGCCATTAATTTATAACTGTATAATTAGAATACTGTAGTTATCATAGAAAAATAAAATTTAAAAGGCAATTTGGAGCTCAAGATTAAAAATAAAACTGGAAATGAGCAATTAAAATATTGTAGTTCAACAAAATTTAATTACTGGAAATTATGGAAATACTTACAATTAATAACGTAACTAACTTGGCTCTCTGGTTAGTGAGACAGCTCTAATGATTATCAAATGAGAGAGGAAGTTGCAGAGTGACCAGTGCTGTGGCTATTGTTTGTGTCTCAAAACAGCAACCAGAGGGAAGTTCTGCTCTCTTTCGGTCTTTATTGTGCTAGCTCTGGAACTGCAAGAGATAATACATCTTCCCATAAAGCCTGCATTTCAAAGAACCAGTTATGCCATTTGTTCCTTGTATATTAATTGTTACTGTAACTGAACTTAATCGATGATATGGATATTAAGTGATAAAAAGTTTCCATTCCCAACCCTTCATTGGCAAAGCTCATGAGGCTTTTATGTTCAACATAATGGTATTTCTCTGTTTTGGATACAATGTGATAACTGAATGCCAAATCTCAGTACTACTTCCAATGTTTCAGAGACTGTTCTAGGCATCAATGGGGAGAACCCTGTTGATTTGGATGAAAATTGGAAAGGCAGAAAGGAAGAATAGGGGGCACACAGTGGTCATGTCATCTGGTTGCAGACCCAGCATTTTCAACTAGGGATGTAAAATCTTATTTAATTAGTTAACTGTGGGGCTGGAGCAGCCCTCTGCCTGCTGCGGGCAGGGGTCTGCTCCCGGTTAACAGTTACCTGGTAGGCATCATTTGTTAAGAGTGATGTTTCCCAGGTAACTAGTTAATTGGTTATCAATTTGCATCCTTAGTTTCAACCACCTTTGTAATTGTCTATAGATCAAAGAACCTGTGGATGCCACCTTCCATCAAAACACACTCGCCCAACTCAGTTTTGCCCATACTCTGAATAGAGTTTAAAAATGTTGACACCCTGCAAGAAAGAAATGAAGAACGATAGTGAGGCATGCGGAAATGGGGACACACACAGCTTGTGGGGCAGAATGGAGGGATACACGGAGCCCCTGGTGTGTGCAGAGAGTTTGACCTACAGAAGCTATAAAGTATGTAACTCTCTAATATTTTTTCAGATGAAATTAAGTAATCTAGATTTGCACAGCTATATACTAAATTAGTTGAAGCAACTACCTGTTTCCAGTGCACTTGGAGTATCCTTTCCCTTTTTCCTAAAAGGAGTAAATGTGATGAGGGTCTTCAACTAGTTTTCCACCAATAGTCCCTGCCATCATGACCTTCTGTATCCTTTTAATTTGATTCATGTTACAATTTAAACCTATTTATTTAAAAAATGAAAGCCTGCAACTCTTTGAACTCACAAGATAATTGATACAACTGCTCAATTCCATAATTGTATGTTTGAGTCCTCCATAGAATTTTCCAAGAGCAGATTTCTGACCCTTCAAAAAGTCCCTAGCTTCCTAAGTATGAACTGCAATAGCCATGACTGCCAGTTGCACTGAGTGAGAAGCCAACCTGTTCATCTCAGAATTGGCGTAATACTATTGTTGTTTTCCCTACCATTGATGTTCTGGGTCATGGAGGTATTCATAAGATGGTCTCTAAGCTTGACTACAGTTGCCCAAGCATTTATGCTGCATTGAAACTTAACAGATAGACTAGGAACATTACAAAAACATGGAGTTACTGCAGAATTCTTGTAATAACACAGATGATGTGCTGAAATACCACTGAGATACCACTGAGCCAGATTACCTGTCCCCTGGGTTGCCCCACCACCTTAGTCTATTGAGCCAGACCCTCCAATCTTCTCTAGAGTTTTATACAGAGCAAACTCATAAAATGTTTTCCCTCTTTATCAATGAAAGAGAGATATGCACAGCTGCCCCCCTCCCACGGGTAACAGTTATTTACACTAGTTTTATTAATAAACAAAAGTGATTTTATTAAGAATGAAAAATAGAATTTAAGTGGCTACCAGTAATTACAGTTACTAAGCAAAATAAAACAAAACATGCCAGCAAAGTTTAATACACCAAGAAACTTGTTATATGTAAAATCTCATGCTAAAGTTCTTTCAGTCAGCTTCTTTCACAGATTGAGGAGCTTTCTGAGTCTGGACCCAGTCAGTCTTAACATTGAGTTCCAGTTTTCAACAGACATCTTAAATGGTAAACAAGGGTGTCTTGTTATCTGGATGCCTCCCTATTGTTTGGTTTCCCATCTTTGTCTCTTTTGCCAAAGGCAGGAATCCTTTGTATTCATTTTAAACTTTTTCACACTTCTAGTGGAGAAGTACAGCATCCAAAATGGTTTCCAGCATCAGGTGACCTGACCAACTGTCTTGGCAGGAGCAACCATAGTCCAGGCTTGCTGGAAAAATAAGACTATTCACAGATCATTGTCCCAAGTACCAGGCCATGAAATTCCTTGTGTAGTATCAACAGCCCTCATTTACCATGTCTAGATTATTAAAACAGGGTAATACTTCATGTTTCTAACTTCAAATACAGGAATGGTACATGGGCACAAATTGAATATACACGTTCAGCAGATTATAAATGTTTAAATGATACCTTACAAGGTATATTTTGCATAAAGCATGTTTGATTTGTGTCATATTCATATTCATAAGTATATTTTTATGAAAGCCTTGGTAGGGGCCCATCACATACATATCATATCTGTTCCAAGCATGTTGCAGAAGAATAGCTCTTGTGATATGTTCTTTCAGAATGTTCCCCCAGGGGACAATGAGATTATAAATCCTCCTTTTTATGACTGCATGCCAAAGCACTCCTGTTTTGTCACAAACATAGATATATTCTTGATAATGATCCACAGAAGGAAAAGCATTTTTTCTTTTAATGAAGTTCTCTTAGAAGTTGAGGTCAATGTTTGGTTTCCCACCATGAGGTTTTTTTTTAGACATAGCATTCTTTTTGGATTTCCTGTGGTGAAGACTTGCTTTATCCTCTACCAAATCTGGTTTGTTTATTGCTGCTATAAAATTGTTGGTTTTTTTTTTTTTTTTTTTTTTTTTGCATTAACTGTATAGAACGAGCAAGTTTCTGCTGCATCCAACATAGGAGTACTTGTTCCGCTTCTGAACCCTTATGTTTCTGTTTAGAAAGGCAATTGCTAATTTTCCCCCCAAATGTTTAAGTTGAAGAGTATAGATTGAAAAATTTTGAAATCAGTACCTTTTTATCAGACAGAAAGCAAGTAGTAGTATCAGATATTTTTTGGAACTGGCATAGATGGACCTGTGTGGTGAAGTAGAATTAATGCGGGTCTTAATATGCAGACCACCTCGCCTCTAATTATTACCTTTCTGTTGAGCAATAGCAAATGTTTGGGGCCTTACAGAGTCTGCTTCCTGTTGAAGTAAAAATAATTGATTTGAATCTGAGTATATTCTAAGTATAATTTGTTTTATGTAAACATAGACACCAATCTTGAAACACAGATGGGCAATTAACAGCATACAAGGCAATCCCTTGTGTGAGAAATCTTAGCCCAGTATCAGTGCTTGGATCCCAGGGATTCTGCCTCAAGATGTAACTCCAGCCAGAAACCAAGATAGAAAACAATCCCTCCTGTTTGCACAGCTCTTGCTCTCAGAACCTCCCATAACAGAAGTAACACCATCAGAGCAGGTCTTCCCAAGATTGAACATTTCCTTCTGGACCAAGAAAAAGAAAAAGGAAGACTATGTAATAGCATCACCTGGTAACGCCAAGTACATGCAGGGAAACCCGCCCCTATTTCTGTTTACTATCCCAAAGTCCTCTCTCTCTCTCATATACACATGCAAATGACAATAGACTTGGTAATAAACTAACTCATTTTGGTTGTAAAGGGAGTTTTTCAAGTTAAGTAACTGGAGAAAGGGATTAAGGCTTAAGAAATGCCATGTGGTGTTTGCAGTAAACTAAAGCAGTGTTTTATGAAATTTTAAGGTTTCTTGACAGTTTAAAGAAATAGCTGAATAAAAATTATATTTCTCCCACAATGGTAGAATTTCTGAAATGAAAAAAACAATTGAAAGTCCTTCCTTTCCAATTAGTAGATGTAGTATGTATGTATCCTCAAAGTGGAAAGTAAGCAAGCTGTAAATGAAATTATTTTGGACGTTAGATCTTCTCAGTAACACTTCATGTGAGATTGCTCACTGAGACATTCGTCAGTGGAAGTTCTGTGGTATCAGTTTATCTAATCAATGAGAGATCCACATGAAAAAACAAAAAAAAAAAACCCTGAAATGAAACCTTATGTTAGGGTTTGAGAGAATTATGAGCTTAATTTGGGAACTTGAACTTGGTTAGAATGATTGCAAGTGAACAAGT